AAAAGGAATCCCAACAGTCTACGAATCGTTTAATTGCAAGAGGAAGACAACCATTTCTTCACGGACACTGATTTTTTTAAAGGAAAAAAAAATCACACTGGAAACATTTTTACTATCTTGCTACTTTATAACACAGTCCAATAAATCAAACTTTAGCTTGAGGTGAATTTTCTCTAATATGAGAGATATGAAAGGGGGAGGGAATACTATAGAAAAAAGGAAATGAAAACATTTGGAAGAAGTTAAATCATCATATGGAAAAGGTTAAACTATCTTAACACTAGCAGGTATAGATCACCAGTCTTAGCAATCGCTTTCTAACTACAAAGAGCCCTATTATCTCATTAATGCCAGATCTTACAAGTTTCTCTTTCAGATGTTGTTAAAATAAGAGAATTTAAAATCTATTATGCTTCATATGCACAAGTGCTTTTCAAATAGCAGACACCAGGTAACTGCTACCACCTTGCAGCGATTAATTAATTACCTTTGATGACCTGGCAGCACCAGAGGAATGCTAGTGCATACAAATGTAGTGCTGGTAAGAGAAAGTATGAATACATCACATATTTTAGCATTTCAGATAAAGATGTTTCTACAAGGTATCTGTTTCTTTTTTTACAACACAGAAGGAACATGTTGTTTTTTCTGCTTTCCGTCACACTTCTTGATGCCCATGTGCCACCTCCAGCAGATCCTTCTGGCTTTTCCGGCTGTAGGTAGGAAACCAGATTTCCTTTTTTAACCTTAAATGGGCTTCATAAGGGAACCTGTGAGCTACCCCCCTATGCTAGTAACACATGAGCTTTAGTGCTCGGCTTTTGTAACATCTACTTGGGCTGTTACTAGTAAAATACAACCCTAGGGTCATTTCAAGGTGCATGCGTGTGCGTGTGCGTGTGCGTGAAAAGTCATTATTCCTATACCCTTTCCAGTAAAATACTAGATCTTAGTACAGCATAGGAATTAAGTTATTTTGTTCTAGCAAGGTTATTTTTAAAATTCCCTACCAGTGTCTTTCTGGCAAAAAGTAAGCCTCTAGCTAACTTTTAACTAGTGACATCTCTATTAAAGGAAAAAAAAAAAAAAAAAAAAAGTCTCAATGAAAGAAAATAAAATATTTATTTTCACATAATGGTTTTCTAGCATATATTTAAACTTAATTATAACTAAATTTCCTCTGAACCAGAGAAAGAAAATATTCTATATTTGGATCTAGATGGATAGTTCTTCTCCCTATCAATTGTCAAAAGAAATTCAGTCTCATGGGATATTATAGCTTACCCCTCTGGGTATACTGAAAATTAGTAAGGAAGTCATTAGAATTCCAATTGCTGCTCTAAGTCCCCAAATCCTTAATTTAGAGCTCTGAATCCTCTAGGCATGTCAGGAATAATTTAGAATCAACTAGAATAGTCCAGTCAGACAGAAGAGCAAAGAAACCCTACCCTGCACTCCAATGGGGGAAGCTCGCAAACCTCAGAGTTTTTGAGAACTCCTAAAACTCCAATCTCAGGCTTCTGACTCCCAAATTCAGACAAGCAGGCCTATAACCAACATCAGACATCCAACAGCATTATTACCAAGAACTGCCTCTTCAAACCATAACCCTAAAGATGCGTCATTTTACACTTAGGATACACCATAAAATATTTCAGAGATTTTAGAAAATCAAAACAAATAAAAACCAGTCTGGCCAAAATGACTCAACTGGTTGAGTGTAGTACTGTGCCCTGAAAGACTGCCAGCTCAATTCCCAGTCAGGGTATGTGCTATGTACCAAAGGCAGCTGATACTGGTTTCTCTCTCACACTGCTGTTAATTTCTCTCCCTCCCTCTCTCTCAGCATGTCTTCAGGTGAGGATTTAAAAAAATAACCAGCCCTGGCCACTGCATCCAAAGGCTGGAGTGTCAGCCAGCACACCAAAGGTTGCAGGTGCAATTCTGCTCAAAGGTAGGTATCTAGGTTTCGGGTTTGTTCCCTGGCCCTGGCTGGGGCAGGTACAGGAGGCAATCAATCAACGCGTCTCTTTCACATCCGTGTTCCTCTCTGTCTCTCCCCCTCCCTTCCACTCTCTAAAAATCAATGGGAAAAATATCCTCTAGTGAGGATTAACAAAAAAAGAAAAGAGGGAAAAAAAATCAACAAATTTACAGAACTTTAAATAAAGTCCCTAACAATTCAGTAAACCTGAAAAGTTCATGCTTTCTCTGGTCATTTGTTAGGTATTAGAAGCAAGATGAAGGAGGTGTGCAGTTCCTTAATAAAGACTGAAACTCTAACAGAAGAATGAAGAGAACAGAGCTGTGATCTGTCCACTTAAAAATTCAAAGTTACCTTTTGACTAGACTTAAGAGAAAACATTATTTAAAGAAAATCTGTCCCCTCAGTATACTTTGGTTTAGGGCAGTGGTCGGCAAACTGAGGCTCGCAAGCCTCATGCAGCTCTGGCTCCTTGAGTGTGGCTCTTCCACAAAATACCTCGGCCTGGGTGAGTCTATTTTGAAGGAGTGGTGTTAGAAGAAGTGTAAGTTTAAAAAATTTGGCTCTCAAAAGAAATTTCAATTGTTGTACTGTTGATATTTGGCTCTGTTGACTAATGAGTTTGCAGACCACTGGTTTAGGAAAAATCCAAATCTGCAGGTGATTTTAATGCCCTTTGTAAGAAGGTGAGCTATGGTACCCCCAAAGGATTAACTGACTTCTGAACCGGTGGTAGATAAGAGTTAAATCCAAAACATGGAAATGACTATAAATATAGTAAGACAGAAAAAAGATGACAATTGTAATTACATAAAACTACAAAGAACATTTAATAAGCCTCTTAGAGTTAAGATATCCTAGATACAAAGAAAGACCCATCATTAGGCATCAAGGCCTAGGCTAGTGTTGTCAATGTTCATGTGTGCTCAGACTTTGTAACGTAATTCAAACTCAGGGCATGCTTGAATTTAAGCACACAATAAACATAACCTTTCTTTTTTTAAAATCATAAACACATTGGTTGTTTTTTTTTAAGGGAGAGTGGAGAGAGAGGGAAAGACAGAAATATCGATGTGAAAGAAACACATTGATGGTTGCCTCTGGCAAGGGCCAAGGCCAGGGCCAGGGCCAAGGCCCGAGGGATGGAACCAGGGACCCTTTGGTCCCAAGGCCAACATTCTATCCACTAAGCCAAACTGCCTAGGGCCACACTGGTATTCTTAATGACTAAAATTAGTTCAAATAAAAGTGCATAGTTCCTTGAAGAAAACAACTTTAACCAACACAAAACTAAGTTCCTTTATGCTTGAATTTTTGTAAGAAACGCTATGAATACACTCCACCTACATGTGTCTGAGCTTATCTAGCCACTAAAGCCTTCTGTTACTTGCATAAAAGTACACATGTAAAGTGTTTAATACAATAGCTGATATATGGAAAAGTTGGTGTTAGTTTTTATTATGCATGCTTGAAACAAATTTTGGTACACTCAAGTTCTCATCATATTTTGCTGCTTAAAACTTTCAATGCTATAACACCAACTGGCAAATTAAATACTTTCTTTTCTAGAACCACTGGAGACCCACTGCATGAATTCGTGCACATTGAAAGGAAATTAATTAGAAGAAATATTTTAGAGGCCAGAGAGGGACTGAGGGAGATTGGCTCCAGCGTGGTCAGGCCTGTCTCGCTCAGTACCAGTCGACTGGACCCCCAGCAGCAAGCTAACATACTGGTTGAAGTGTCTGCCCCCTGGTGATCAGTGCATGTCATAGTGACTGGTAGAGCAGTTGACCAAAGGTCAGACAATTAGCATATTGGGCTTTTATATAGATACATTCCGAGACCTACAAAAATCTTCAACATTGAGAACTGCACCCTTAGCATATGATTAGCTAAATAAACTATAACCCAACAGCAAATATTGAACAAAATATTGATGTTCAGATGGAGTTAGCCTTAAATTGAGCCAACATGTCACTAAGTTTAAAGTGCTGCTCTACGAATTCTATTGGCTCCACTGCAAATGGGCTTAGTATTCAAGATGTTAGTATTCGGACAGCTATTTGTTCAAACTGTGGTCCCGTGGGCAAGCTTCAGACTTCTCATCCTGAATTTCTGCTCTCAACTCTGCCTCAGGTGATTCTGAAATTCTTCCCCACCCAGCTAATTTCCACTAATATAAATGCTACCTTTAACTGTCCTGGCCCCTAGATGTTGCTCAAGATACCTAGGAGCCAGACCAGGGCTGATCCACCATCCTCAAGAGTGTTAAGAGATAAAGAGTGAAGTCCAAGGAGGACCATTAGATTTGGTGCCAGAGAAACCTTGCTGGTGTAATCACCATCTGTTCTCTTTTAGATCAAAGAGCCTCTAACAGGGCTTAGTCCTCCTATTCTAGGTAGGAGAAAAAACCTTTTCTCCTCTTCCTTTCGTTTCACACACCCACCCCCCACCAGAATGGTAAAATAAGGGTGCAACCCTGAAACAAGGCACCAAGAAAGCATCCCTAGTTTTTAAGGAATGGAAGCCTTGGTGGGCTTGTTAGAAGTCCAGGCACAAGGAGTTCCTAAAGAACACATGGTCTCTCCCAGCTTGGGGGTTTAGGGTCCTACATAATTACAGCTGATAGAACTCTTCCCAGTATTGTCTTCTGGAACTGATACTACAATAAGCAGTGACTTCGAGATTTGAGATTCAAAGACCTAAATCCCAAGACTCAGACAAATATCCCAGCACCCTGATGACTACTAAGACCCCGGCTTTTTCTGCACTATCAGAACATGAGATAATGTTTCCTCCTATGGCAGTTTGCTAACTTACCTTTTCCCACAGCTTTTTGTAGAAACACCCCTCATGAAACCGGAAGCTGCTAAAGACAAGGACTGTAGTTTCATTACCTTCTCCATATCCCCTATCACAGGAGGTACACTCCACTCTGAACCTGAATAGAAATCTCAATTATCACATCCTTACACTGGGATTAGAGTAAAGTTTGATTTTTTTTTAAATACCTTTAATAAATAAAGAGAACTCTGGTCCTGGGGAGATTTGAGAAAGTTTCTGGCATCTGCCGAACCTTTGCATAATTGATAAATCCTCTGAGAAACAGGAGGAAGCCTAATTTAAAAAAGAAAAACCAGAAATAAATTTATAACTTCTGCATTAAGTCTCCTCCCTGGATATGTCCCTCTTGATAGCACTAATTCATCGTTTTTTCTATTAAAAGCTATCAAGACATGAGCAACTTCCTCCAAAGCTTTCAAAGATTTCCACACCAAATTTTCCATTTCTCATTTTAAAAAAAGAACAAACCCATAATATCAAAAAACAAAAGCCTTTTGCACATTCAGAATCTAATTGGTCTAAAAGGAAATAAAAAACAATGGAGCTAAACATCTACATTTGAAAGCCTCAGTAAGAAACATTATCAAAATCTACCTCCTGAGTTCCAAAAAAATATTCCAAGATAATTAACTCAAAACAAAACAAAACAAAACAAAACAAAAAAAAAAACAAAAAAAAAAAAGAGAGAGAGAGAGAGAGAGAAGTTATAAACTGATTTTCTCAAGTGAAAACAAGTTTCATCCTTTCTTGTCATGGTACTTTTTTTCTTGTCAACAGTACATAATGTTGACCACTAGATGTCAGGATCCCCTTACCTATTACAGTGATTCTTTTATTTTCAACTCTAACCTCTATTTCTTCATACTTCATACATACATACAAATAGGGCCCTCTGCCATTGACTCACCAGGCAGGTAAGAGAGTAAGACTGAATTGTATGGCTACACCAGATTCTACACATTCACGGAGTCTGCACCTCCTGGAAGAGGGAGCTGGGAGGCGGTGTGCCCTCTAATGGGAGCTCAACACTCAGCCCTCCTCCTTCAGAGATGGCCCCTGAGTCTTAGACACATTTTTAAACACCTTTAGACCTGGTCCTTATAGAAAAAAAACTCCAAAAAGGTTGGTTCTCTCTGCAAGAGAAGTTCCAAAAATGATCCAAACATTGGGTCCAGATGCACTTAATACACATCCAAAGTCTCACCACTTTCTGCTCAGTACTAAGCAGCAAGATAGCAAGAATGATCAATTATAAGGTATTATAATTTATATCTCATATCTTCAATATAAAGAAGGAAATCAGCCCATTAAACTTCTTTAAATTATCTAGTGCCAATAATCAACATGAAAGTATGCTTAATGGCTCTTCTTTGGTTCCTTCAGGATTTGCTTAGATTGAGCTTGGGGGAAGAAGAGGAGTCAGCTTTTCTCTTAAAGACAGTTTAAGAATAAGAAAGGCAAGGAACTATTCCTCCAAAGTAACTCTCTGACAGGTCATTTTTATTATTAAGCTTCTCAATAAAGATGGGGGAGGGGATCATATTTCTCTTTTCATGGAATTACAATGACTATTGGTAAAGTTGGAAGATGAGTAATGGCATGATGGATGACTTGTATTTTCTAAATATAATTTAGGGTCAGCAATGCATGAGACAAAGAAGGTTAGGTCCTGAATGTATTAAGTACCTGCTGGGCATAGTGCTACACTGTGCTAGCCAGACCCATTAGTAGCACTGCCATCAGGGATCTAAATTAAGGAGGCAGCAAAAAGGCCTAAACTAGGAAGTAGAAGAAAGAGATGTCACAGAAGCAGAGCAAGGCAATTATACCATCTTTAATAGACATATGGATATAATGGCCCTGCTATCATTTTATAGAAATGGTAGTGGTCTGTAATTATCAAAAATATTTTTTTTACAAAGAATGAAGAAGCCAACAATATTTACCTCAATGTTCATTTCTTTGCTTTAAAATATCTTAGAAAAAAAATTTAAATAAATATTTAGAGTAAAAAATAAAACCTTACGACCAATCTGAAATGTCTGTTTTTTTGTTTTTTTTTAAACCTCTGCCCAACACAAAAGAAATTCTTATTTTTATAACAAACTAAAGAATTCTGGAAATCCAATAGTAGTTCTTCCAGAAATTATGTCTAACAGGGCTATATATTTTCTGTTTTCTCCTGACAGATCCAACACACATACTCATGAGTAGTTCAAGTGCTTACAATATGCTTATAAGCAATTTGGGGTTAAGTCTATGAGTTTATGGCAATAATTCACAAGGGGGGAAAAACCCAGACTATAAAGTCTTCTTATCAGTGTCCCACTGGTCGTGGGAACCTGAGAAGTGAATACAAATGAGTTAGGAAAAACCTACAATGACTAACAAACATTTTATCGATATTCATTTTATTCAGATGGTGAAAGCCTAATTTTTAAGAGAGAAATATTTTTTAAATTATACTTATTGTTGGTTAATCTACCACTGAATAATATGATGAGGGTTTACTAAAAGTAATCTCACTTCTAAAATTTAACATAATCTTTTCTCTCCTTTGTCTGTATTAAAAGCACTTACCTAAAACCAGGAACACCCACCAGAGCCAATACTGACCATCAAAGTATCCAGGGAAATAAGTGGAAAACTGAAAAAACAAAACAAAAACAAAAACATTTCATAGCAGCTTAGCAGATATAATTTCACATTTTAACTTACAGGCACACAAAACATAAAAACTTTATTTTGTATATGAATACTGACTTTTACCTCTTAAAAATAATAAGAGTGCCCTAGAAGGTTTGACTCAGTGGATAGAGCTTCAGCTTGCGGACTGAAGGTTTGATTCACATGCCAGTAGGAGGTGTGCAGGAGGCAGCCAATCAATGATTCTCTCTCATCATTGGTATTTCTCTCTCTTTCTTTCTCTCCCCCTCCCCTTTCCTCTCTAAAACCAATAAAAATATCTTTAAAAATAATAATAATAAATAAATAAAAGTATTTTTATATTACTGGTTTGAAGTGTTTACAACATAAACAAATATATTTATTTTAATGGAAAAACAGTCTTGTCCTCTAGCCATGCCTTGATCTTGAAAACTTTCTCATGTACATAATGATAACCACATTTCTTTCACAGGATGTTATTCTGGACAGTGGGAATTGAAGCTCCTGAGAAGATTTCCCTGCTCTTAAAGGGAAAAGGAAAAGAACCAATAGTTCACTTTTTTCTGTTGAGCACCGTGGATTTCTGTGACAATGCCTTAACCTCAGGGAGGAGCAGCTATACCAACATGCTTAGCAGTTGTCTCTGATGATGTCAATAAAACACTGATTTAACTAATCTCCATGTCAAGACTTGTTTTCTTAGATAATAATTCCTCCCCCACCCCCCACTGTTTTCGAAGCCATTTTGAACTAAGTTTTTGTTATCTGCTTACAAAGCCATCCTGATACAAATTGATTAATTAAATTCAGTTTTTAAATTTAGTTAAAAAAAAAACCCACCTGGTAACTAATTTTATGTTTTCTATTGGAGCCTTTGATGTTCAAAAATTTAACAGTTTGTCTATGTTAAAACCTGAGTATTAAAATATACTATTTTATTTCTTAATAAAATGACAATGAAGATTTAGAGAAAGAATGAGAAATCTCTTTAGGGTTTGGGATCTTAACCTCAAATCCATGTTTTAGATGGTTACATATTAGCTGTCTGGGGGGAAAGCCCGTAACTTTTATCAGATTCTCCGGTTTGGCTTTGTGGATAAAGTGTAAGCCTGCAAACCAAAGGGTCCCTGGTTTGATTCCAGTCAAGAGCATGTACCTTGGTTGCAAGCTCCTCCCCACCCAGGCCCTAGTCAGGGTGTATGCAAGAGGCAATCAATTGATATGTTTCTCTCTCTAAAAGATCAATGGAAAAATATCCTCGGGTGAGGAATAACAAAAAAAAAAAAAAAAAGGATATTGGAATCCTAAAAAATGGTAACTTCTTTAGAATAAATAAGTTTCAAAAACCCCAGTGGTCAGTCAACTCCCAAAAACAAATTATAATTTGTTTTATTTATTTATAAAGTTGTCAATAGCAATAAACTTACTTGAAATCAGAAGACACTTGAAGAGACTAGATCTCTTATAACTTTAAATTACTTCATGCAATTCTAACTTCCAAATCACTGAAGATATCTCTAATTTACTTTACAGATAAGAACCCCTAATGGAGCAGCACTTGTTAAACAGCTAAAGATAAATAAAAAATAAAATAAAAATAAAAAGTAGGAAGTGAAAAACCTGTAGGAGAGATGCCCCAATATTCACTAGATTTGACTACGTACAAAACTTGTATGCGTGAACCAATTACAAATGGCTTAGGTTCAACTTCATGATACCAGAACAAAGACAAACCAAAAATCATTTTAAATGTTGACATAATGCAAATGAAGCAAATGAAAAAAACAAAACATTCAAAATTATTCTATTTTTTATTTCTCTGATGCATGACTTACCCTGACAATCAAGATCCACTTAATTAGGGAGAGACCAAATCCTGAAATGGCCCCATACCTTCCTGCCGCTGAAGTGGTCAGGCAAAAAGACAGGAAAAACCCAATCCAGTTAAAGAGGAATGCCACTGTAAAAGCAAAAAGAAAATAGATGTCAGACATGTCCTATTACCCTAGAGCAAAAGTGTGCCCTCTGACTTGCTTTTGCTTAAATGGCTTTCCCAAGGATAAAAGAGAGCCCAACGTGCCCTCCACAACCCTTACCCACTCCCCCATAGCTCCCAAGAAAACATCCTCTCTGAATATCAGATGAAACACTATTATAGCTACTGCTGTTCACTTTCAAAAATGCCTTAACTGTATACTCATGACTTTGCTGTATGTTTTAGACTTCAGTAAATAAATGCCTTAAACATTAAATTAATGCTTTCAAGTAATTTGATTCAAGACATTCATCTTCCTGTTTCTATAAATTTTGATAGTTTACATAACGTCACCTCTAAAAGCACTGCATTTCCTTCATATATTTTTAATACAACAAATAAAAGAAATAAGGCCGCTCACTTTAAGTGAGGCACATGAAAAGATAAATGCAAAACATCAAGAGGACAAAAATCATGCTGACTGATCTATCAGAAAATAAAAGCTCACAAAAAAAACAAAATTCTCCGGGACCGGTTTGGCTCAGTAGATAGAGCGTCGGCCTGCAGACTGAAAGATCCCGGGTTCGATTCCGGGTAAGGGCATATACCTTGGTTGCGGGCATCCCCAGTAGGGGGTGTGCAAGAGGCAGCTGGTCGATGTTTCTCTCTCATCGGCATTTCTAACTCTATCCCTCTTCCTCTCTGCGAAAAATCAATAAAATATATTTTTTTTAAAAATTCATCAGACAAAGGCACAGGTCAGATACAAGTAAGAGCAAGGCTTAGGAGTTCTGCACACCGGCAAGATGAACGTGGCTCATGCATAAATGCAACAGCCCTGTAACCACTTTAATTATTTTAATATTTTCCATAGAAATACATAAAGTAGAAGACAAAGAGAAAGGATATTAATATAAAAGTGTACTAAGCTCTGACATTTCAGTAAAAGGCACCGATATTAATTCCACTAGTTATTTTAATTCATTCAGATTCATCCATAATCCAAAGTACTCCGTCCAGTCAGTGGAAAGTGGCTCTGCTATGTGTATGTACTTACTGAAAAAAGTTAACATAAAAATCCCATCGTTTCCTATCCTCAGCTGGTCAGCATCATCAAAATCATCCCGACCCACAAAATCCTCATCCTACATGAAAAGAAAAAGAATAAGGTAAATGCACAATGAATTATTTCTAGGCAAAGGAAAGACATCTAGAAAAAGAGAGAGAGACGAAAGTAGTACCAAGGAGAAAACTTACTGCTTTGGCTCAATTCAAAACTATGAGCATTAAGGATCAGTATGGTTTTTAAATGTCATTTTGCACCTGAAACTTACATAATGTTATAAACTGATGCTACTGCAATAAAACTAAATTTTAAAAAGAGAACTAAGAGTAAGATATAATTAAAGAACAAATCTTTCTTCCATCTCTAGTTTCCTAAGTGATTTTTTTTTCATTTTATAACCCAAGTTATTTAACAATATACTTCAAAAATTATAAAACTTTACAAAGTTCTGTGTGTGTGTGTGTGTGTGTGTGTGTATCTTTTAAAAAGAGACCATTTACTTATACATCTGGCTTACATTCTAGAATGTCAATAATCCAGGGCCTATGGAAGAGACACAGTTGAGTAGCTCAGGTGTTTTATGAGACTTACACGGGGGGGGGGAAGGGGGGGGGGAATGGCATCTATAGGGCTGCCCGTTGGTCAGCTCCATAATCATTTATGTGGGAATCTACGTCTGAAACAACCTCACTTACAATTTTATTGGCAGATCGTATATCTTTCATCCTAACATGAAAACATAATATTGCAGGTCTAGAAGGAACATAATCTTGATCTACATTGACACCAACATACTGTAGTCTACCTTTTCAACTGAGGTAGTATGTGTTGAGACATTGAAAAATAAGTGAATATAGGCTTAACAGTAAAAGTGGTGGACTTGTACACAGCCAGTAAGATTTCCTCAAATTAAACAAAAAAACTTGAGGGGCAATCAAAACTTTCTCTACACAGAAAAGGAGCTTGGAAACCCACAACAAGTGCTTCCCTTGGGGAGTTGGACCTAAAGAAAAGGGAAGGATCAGTGGCAGCTTCCATTTCTAACTTAACACGTTTCCTCTATTGTTTAAAATTTTTATGATTGTGTTTTTTATTTTATGTTTTTAAATACTAAATACCCAGTATTCTGACTTCATATTAGCAGGATAAATAAAGGCTTTGCCAAATTAGAAACTAATTTTTTTTTTTGCATAATTACTCAAAGATATACATGCTACGAAAATACATGGAAGTGAACTCATGATGGTCTGACTTTCAATTTTTCAACCATACGGTGGTGTGAAAGTGATATGCATTAATAAAACCTGGCTAGGCTAAACTAGGATGTTCGTAGTTTAAGTGTGTTAAATGTATTTTTAACTTACAATCTTTTCAACCATCAATGAGTTTATCAGGATGTAACCTCACCGACTGTTGCCAGGATACTGTTTCTAAAAATCATACGGGTCTGATCATAACCCTGTTCAAAATTATAAAGGATTCTGTGTGACCTGCACGTAAGTCTAAATGCCTCAGCCTTGGTATTCAGAAGATTCTACAACTTACAAATCTTTGTCAAGCAAAACCAATGACTAAATCCACAGAACCTGCCTTGTACCTGGCTGAATTTACACCTGCTTCTTGGGCTTTTCCTTCTGGAATGCCTTCCTTAAAATTCAAGGCACAGCCGAAACCAGTTTGGCTCAGTGGATAGAGTGTCGGCCTGCGGACTGAAAGGTCTCGGGTTCGAGGCACATCTCCAGTAGGGGGTGTGCAAGAGGCAGCTGATCGATGATTCTCTCTCATCGATGTTTCTAACCATCTATCCCTCTCTTCCTCTCTGTAAAAAAATCAATAAAATATATTTTTTTAAAAATTCAAGGCACATTTCAAATTCCATCTTCCCCATAATCACACAATAAAAAGACACAGTGCTTATGCTCATTGCTCCTGTGCTGCTGCTTAGATATGGGTATGGGGAAGGGGGGGGTGTCTTTTTCCCAGATGGATTTATAGCTCTTGGCATGGACACTGCTTTATACAAAGCTTTTTATCTACCCATCTCAACATGCACAGCAAGTACACTGTATTAAAAAAAAAAAAAAAGTGCTCTATATAGGTTTGTTGAATAAGAAAACTCTTTAAGATGTTCCTTGCCCAGTCAGCACTGTTCAGTGGTTGAGCATCGACATATGAACCAGGAGAATGCCATTGTAAAAGCAGAGAGATGGGATCTGAATTCACAGTTCGATTCCCCATCAGGGCACATGCCTGGATTGCAGGCTTGATCTCCAGTGAGGGATGTGCAGGAGGTAACTGATCAATGATTCTCTCTTATTATTGATGTTTCTATCTCTCTTTCTCCCTTCCTCTCTGAAATCAATAAAATCATATTTAAAAAACAAAAAAAGATGTTCCTAAATATGTATGTACACTTGTGAAATAGAAGTATTCTAAAGAGTTCTCTGATTAGTCAGACCTAGTCTCTTGGTCTATTTCCATAGGACAGTTGCCATATATTCCCACAGGTCTACAGCGTACATACAAGGACTGTGGCGTCTAGAATATCTGGGTTTGGCTTTCATCTATGTTACTTATTAGCTATATGACTTTGGGCAAATAGTACTCAAGTTTTTATATCTGTAAAATAGGGATAATATACTAGTAATTCCTACTCTGTGATGTTACTGAGAGGACTGGAAACAATATACAAAATACTGTATGAAAACACCAAACATAGAATCGATCATGTTGTTTGTTTCCAATGCACAGAACTTACATTAAAATTGTTTTGTCCTCAAGACAGCAAGCTTCAGGAGGTTTTTAGTTTTTCCCTGGCACCTACAAGAACTGAACGCACATCACCATGCAGAATCAGCCTAATTAGCTTATAAAAACTATTATTTCTGCCAAATAGCAGCGATGGTTTTAGGAGCCCCATCCCTAAAGATGTGGTCTGTAAACAGCTCCCTACCCTAAGGCCTGAACTTCTAGGGGTTGTGCATTGTGTTACCCAGACTGAGCTTCCCTTCTTTCTCATCTTTCACTCTAGTTTCCTGCCAGAACTAGAGTCTAAAGTCCTGATCACTCCACATTCCTGGAGACTGGATCCTGCTTCCCATTGTCTCAATATCCCAAGGCCCTACCTGTATCAGCTTCAACCTAGATGGATATTTAAACCACATCTACATCATTTACAAGTCTGACATCAAGAACCAAGGGTGCCCCCAAATCTCGGGCTGGCTTTTATCGCACCCACCAGCCCTCTCATTAATTAACAGGTCAGATGGGGTCTGAATTCACTACTGCCCTACAGATGCTGTAATCTGCACTGGTGGCACAAAGGTTCTCTTAGATGGTTGTCAGGACCCTTTTATGAGTTTAATTTCATGAAGTTGCACTTATTCATTATCTCCATAGATCTCCCCAACAGCTACCTACCTAACACCAAAAATTGAAGTATGCAGAAGCAAGGGAAGTTAGTATATTTCCTAAAACAGCTCCTGCTCCAAGATACTTCAGCCATGCCAGGAGAATTGAGAAAGTGATGATAGTAGTAAAGATACAGAGAAAATGAGCAGGCTTTAACTAGTAATTTTCTTTTCATTTATAGCTTTTACCTTACCATTTTTAAGAAGAGATAAGAGTTTATTATCCCCAAAGAAAATATGCTTGTTTTTAAAAACTAGTTGTACTTTTACTAGTCAATACAATTGTAAGTAATAAATCAAAGTGGCTAATAATGAAAATAACTTGATTCCCATGGACTTACTCTTCCAGGAACCAAAGGAACAGTAGCTTCAGCTTTGGTTCTCTCAGCTTCATCATAGCTGGGCAGTGTGGTAGCCACATTGTAAGATGGGGGCTTTGGATACCCAGACTCGTCTTTGTAGTCAAAATACACTGCAGAATTAAAGGAAGTTACAATTATCTGATGATTAGCTTAACGGCGGGGGGAAAAAAGATTTTCACTAACTTTGGCAATAAAAAACAGGCACTCCTCTAAGAGCACATGTACATAATTGAATCGAGACGGTTATAGATAAATATAAGAATATGGGAATGATTTGTAAATTTATCTACTTCTCGCCCAATCAGTGTGGCTCAGTGGTTGAGTATCAACCTATGAAACAGGAGATCATCGCTGGGATTCCTGGCCAGGGAATATGTAGGGGGCATTCAAAAGGAAGCCGAACAATGATTCCATCTCATCATTAATGTTTCTATCTTTCTCTCCCTCTCCATACCTCTCTACAATCAATAATAAAAATGTTTTTAAAAAGAAAGAAAAAACAACTTCAGGTGAAATGCAGATGTAAATGGGAAAAGTAAAAGATCAAATCTTTTAGAAACAAACACAGTAAAATGTGTTAAAACTAAATCTGCCACCTAAGAAACTTGGATGTTTTTATCCCCAAGTCAAAATAACTATTTAACACACATACATAAATATATGTATGTATGAGGCCCAGTGCACAGATTCATGCAACAATAGGATCCCTTGGCCTGGCCTGTGGGAATCAGGCTGAAACTGGCAGTCCAACATCCCCTAAGGGGTCCTGGATTGCGCGAAGGCATAGGCCTCTAGTATGAATGTATGATCTTTGGTTAATCTCTTTCCACCCTCCCCGCTTCTCTCTCTGGGATTCATCAGTCTGTTCCATGTTTCTAGCCTGTGGTTTCTACTCCTGTGTTGAGCGTCTGCCCCTTGGTGGTCAATGTCATAGCTACTGCACGATAGGCTTTTATATAGATAGATAGATAGATAGATAGATAGATAGATAGATAGATAGATGCATGTATACATATACACATGTGTATGTATATATTATAAAATATTCCATACAACTTCCTATCAAATTTTTTTACTTTTAAATCAAATCATACTAAAGTCATATTACAAACAGAAATGTACAGTTTGAATTAGCCACTGCCAGAATAATTTTTAACACAAAAATAATATTGATATCTACTATTTAAGTTGAGGAAAAACAAGAACATTTAAATTTCCCTATTTCAAAAGATTTTTTAAAAATGGAATCCAGCTGAAACCAGTTTGGCTCAGTGGATTGAGCGTCGGTCTGTGGACTGCAAGGTCCCGGGTTCGATTCTGGCAGGGGCATGTACATTGGTTGCGGGCACATCCCCAATGCGGGGGGTGTGCAGGAGGCAGCTGGTCAATGTTTCTCTCTCATCAATGTTTCTAGCTCTCTATCTCTGTTCCTTCCTCTCTGTAAAAAATCCAATAAAATATATTTTCTTTAAAAAATGGAATCCATCTATATAGATCTCATATAATTTTAAATTTCCACGAAAAACTTAATGACAATCTTTTCAAGTTTATTTAGTATTAAAAAAATTAAGTATTTTACTTTTTACTGTTAAATTTTATCTATCACAAATTAAAATAGGTAAAGGGAATATACAAAACATTGATTTGTTATTTTCCCCCCTCCAAAATGGGTGTTGCTTTCTGTTTCTTTTTTCTCATAAATGGACTAACTCCACACAGTTCACACTTATTTTAAAAATAAGCCATGTTAATTTAACAAATGGTGGAAGGCTATGTAAGCCATTAATAAAATTTCCTTTAAAAAGAGAGAGAGAGAGAGAGAGAGAGAGAGAGAGAGAGAGAGAGAGAGAAAGAAAAACCTTATTTCATAAATAATTTAAAAATGGTCTTGAGTAATTTATGATCTCTAAAAACTATTCCCCTAACCTGGAACTAATAGAGTTCGAAGAGACCTTGGAACATAAGTGTTTGTTTTGTTTTATGTTGTTTTTTAAGGCCTCTGTAGCTGGATAAAAAGAGTTCAGGAGAGAACACTTCAGGCCTTATTCTAAAGTTTCTTTCTTTATGCCCAATCTTAGAAACTTTGGTTATTTGCTATTGAGGCTCACAGCAAGATTAATAAAAACAAGAGAAACAGGTAGAGGACCTCGTGCTAAAAGCAAAAGGAGATGATATCTGACAAACCAGGGAGGAATTAGGTTCTTGAGTCAAAAGTTCTACAAATCCCAGTGAATAAAGGAATCACCACTAGAGTACAGAATACCTTCCAGAGATTGTTTTTGTTGTAATCCCTAAATCATAAAGAAATTTTTAAACAGCCCTAGTGGTTTGGCTCATGGATAGAGCGTCAACCTGAGGAGGGAAGGCTCCCAGGTCCGATTCCAGTCAAGGGCACATTCCCATCGGGCTAGATCCCCAGTAGGGGACATGCAGGAGGCATCCAATCAATGATTCTCTCTCATTATTGATGTTTCTATCTCTCTCTCCCTATTCCTTTCCTCTCTGAAATCAATAAAGATAATATTAAAAAAAAAAAAAAAAAAGAATATGAAATGCCAGTGAATAAGGGAAAGAAGTGTTTGAAAAAGATTTCTATCTAAAATGGTTGTGGGGGAAATGGGGGACATCTGTAATACTATCAACAATAAAAGTATACAAAATAGAACCTAAAATGTTCAAGAAAAATTATCTCCTATAAAAATGCAGAATTTTTATCATTAATAAAACAGAAATCCAATGTCTTATTTAACAGTTGGAATTTTCATGAATATATTTAATGGAAAACCAGTACTGATAGTCTAGGCCAGCAGTTGCCAACCGGTGGTCCACGGACAACTGGTGGTCTGTGAGGTCCAAAAGGTTGGCAACTGCTGGTCTAATCAGAGATGAGTGAATAAGGACTAGCATTGCAATTCTTTCCCAAGTCTTGCTATTGTTGTCTTAATTTGATTCCACAAGATACCCTAGAATTCTTCCAAAACCATGTTAGCATTAACATGGTTTAGTTCCAGAAACTTATAAATAAAAATACCTTAACTAATTCAAGATGATGAGGTTCAGAATTTGAAGCCAGAATAGAGGTGAGAAACTTTCTATGATCCTCTAACTACAACGGCAACCTCCGGCCACAGAGACTACCAAAAGATTTAATCTCACATCAACTGATGACAACTGCCTGAGGTGCTGTATTGAAAGGATCTGAGGCTGTTTGTTTGGTATGAATGCTGTCTTCAATTTGCCTATCCACCCAGAGAGCGAGCTGGGTTGAGTTCTGGCACCATGGGCCATGTACTTGCCTCAATTCTATTTTAGAAAATATGGGAAAGGTTTCATTAAAAGTGGTCAACATTCAACAATAAAAGCAGTTATCAGAAAGCTCTAGTTACCTACCAAAAGTTGTCAACTAATGAGATTTTTTTCTTCCTTCCTCCCTATTCCTTCTACACAAACATATGAAAATTAAAAAGATAATCTGACATAATGTGTGAAGATGAAAGGTTAATTAAGGAAGGCGGAAACTATGAGGAACATTTAAACCATGAGGAACAGAATGAGTTAGGAGACTTCTAGTTGTTTTGTTTTTAATTAAGAAATTTACTAGCATAAAAGAATGTAACACACTATATTCTACACCATAGGTACTACAATCACAAAGAGCAAAATAGCTAATAAGGAAACTACAAAAAGAACAAAAATTAGGTAATGTACCTGGTTCCTAAATTTCTACTTCTTTTATATTAAGAGTCTGTTGGAATGAAATTGAGTTCCAAAATAAAATGGGATTTGACCTGTTTTTCAGAACAGTAACATTAGTATTTTTCCACTCAAGCTACAAACTAAATATAATTTCAAAGACTATTTAAAGAAAGCTGAAGCAAAGGTAAACACCAATAACACATACTAGACAATTCTATGGCTAAGTGCACTCCAAGAGCTCAGTGGTCATCTGGCCCATTACCTACCTACTGCACTCTCTGGGGAGATGCTGCTGTAAGGAGGAGGAGCATCACATGCAGCCTGTTCCAGCTGTGCAGGCTCTTCCACATTCTGCAACTAAATAAAAATTTCACATTTTAATTCAAGTATAAAACCAGTAAGATAGAGAAGAAGAACCTTAAAACTGGAATATCCTTTCTGGAAAGCTAGTTGGCAATTTGTTTCCAAAGTCTTAAAATGTGCAAATCCTTTACAAAGTATTCCTCTCCTAGAAATTTATCCTAAGGAAATAATCAGACAGAGGCAAAAAGACATATATACAGAGAAAGGCAAAAATAGGTTTATAGGTGTGAGTATGCATAACACAAGAGTTTATTCTTGTATTATTATTTACTAATTGTCTTTATTTTCCTTACAAACAACTATAAACCTACTTCTGCTTAACCCTGTAAATGTCATTGTAGCAAAAATTAGGAACAACCTAAATTCCAATCATGAGAAACTTATTAAATAAATTACAGTTCATCTCACAAAAGCTTACTAAGCAGCCATAAAAATGAAAACGAAGAAAATTTGATGGTTCAAACAGATATTCACTCTAAATACTATTACATAAAAAAAAAAAAACTAAATTTACCAAATAGTATACATTATACAATTTGGCTTTGAAAGATAGTTAATGGAAAGGAGATCTAGAATGATAGACATCTACAGCTTACACTGTTTATCTCCAAGTGATGTGATCACAGGAATATTTTTTATACATACATCTAACTTTTTGTAATGAACATTTGTCACTTGTATAATTTTCTAAGTGACAAAAATAATTCTATATAATAAAAGGGTAATATGAAAAATGACCAATCGTCAGAACAACCAGTCGCTATGACGCATATGATCACCAGGGGGCAGATGCTCAACTCAGGAGCTTCCCCTTGGTGGTCAGCGCACTCCCACAGGGGGAGCTCTGCTCAGCCAGAAGCTGGGCTGATGGCTAGCAAGCGCAGCAAAGGTGGCAGGATGCTAAGGATGTCCGACTGACTGATTAAGCCATCAACTGGATACCCCCTGAGGGCTCCCGGACTGCAAAAGGGTGCAGGCCTAGCTGAGAGACCCACCACCACCTCCAAGTGCACGAATATTGTGCGCCGAGCTTCTAGTATAAAAGTAATCTGTTAAGACAAAGACAAATCACACAGACTAAGGTTTACCATTATATTCAGTTTAGGCATGAAAATTAGATCTTAAAATATAAAATTCTACCTAATTATACATATAACCTCTGTTAATTCATCTAACCATTTCCTCACTAGTCAAATCTACAGCTGCAGTTACTTTAACTTACACTGAAAGTGTGAATTCCTGCCATTGCCATATGGATAGTTTACCCAATTCATCTTCATTGAACAAAGACATTTGTTTTAATTTTTCCAGTGTGACAAAAGACTACAGCTCATTTAAAAGATAAACTGGCTGAGAATGGGAATCAATCTGTAAAGTAATAACAGAGTACTCACTGGGGGTTCTGCATCCGAGCTGTATATCATCATAATACGTACTGCCAACTAAGCCACTGGGAAAATACACAGCTTCTAAACCAACTGCTACAAAGAACTCTGTCTTGAATTGAGAGAGAAAAATAGAGAGTCTGACCTATCATAACATGAAGTAGAGCTCCTTAATTCATTACATTTTAACTAACCATCTCAGTCTCTAATCCCTAAACTATTCAAAATCGGAAGACTACAAAACTTTTCTGATTCTACAAAGCATTCAATTTCAAATGAATTTCTGTATCAAATTTCCATCAACATTTACCATCTGATCACATTTTTTAAACCCCTGTAATCTAATGTTAAACTTAAAGCATTCCCAAAGTAATTATATTGTAACCTAAGATAAATTTTCCTTTTGTCACTTGTATAATTTTCTAAGTGACAAAAATAATCCTTATAAATAAAAGGGTAATATAAATTGACCAATCTGCAGAACAACTGGTCACTATGATGCATAAAGGAAAACATATGAGCAAAATAGCTATAGTAATGCCAACAGTCCTAGGACACCAAGTCAGTAAATTCTTTAAATAGAGTTCCTGGGGCCATGGTTCACTTGTTATACTATCCCTCCCTCCCCTAGAAAGGAATGGAGAGGGAGAAAGAGATAGAAACATCAGTGATGAGAGAATCACTGATCGGCTGCCTTCTACACTCCCCCTAACTAGGGATCAAACCTGAAACCCAGGACTCTAATCATGATCACAGAGCCACAGGCAGGGCTCACTTGAAATATTCGATACTTTTAACATTATCTGAAGCTCCACACAGGGTATTCTCAGCCGACTCCCAACCACACTTTGTGTCCTAAGAATGTTGCAAAAGAAGAGTCTTGCCCTACCCAGGTTTGGCTCAGTGGGCAGAGTGTCAGCCTGTGGACTGAAGGGTCCCAGGTTCAATTCCAGTCACTAGTACAGGCTAGGGTTGTGGGCTTGATCCTTCCATGGCAGCCCATCGGTGGTTTCCTCTCATCAATGATGTTTCTATCTCTCTCCCCCTTTTCCTTCCTCTTTCAAATCAATAAAAATATATCTTTTTAAAAAAGCAAGAGTCTGCTGCAAAAACAGAGGCAAATATGGACTTTTCAAGAATATTGCCTTAATATACTGTAGCTAGTAATGTTTTATTTTTTTAAATATATTTTATTGATTTTTTTACAGAGAGGAAGAGGAATAGAGAGTTAGAAACATCGATGAGAGACAATCATCAATCAGCTGCCTCTTGCACACCCCCTACTGGGGATGTGCCCCCAACCAAGTACATGCCCTTGACAGGAATCGAACCCGGAACCTTTCAGTCCGCAGTCTGACCCTCTATCCATTGAGCCAAACCGGTTTCGGCTAGTAATGTTTTTTAAATCTAGTAATGTTCTTTAAACATAGCTTGATATCTTTGACTTGTTTTATACCTCCTGAGCTTGGTCACATAATCATGTTGCCTCTGCATAATTTAGGTTTTAGAAAGGAAGCATGGCAATTCTAAGAAATTACAGAGGTCCAAAGAATAAAGAGGTCTAATATGTCAGTATCTATAAGATAGGTTGCCTGTTTCCTAGCAACCTGAAATGAGAAATTTGATCATCCCACACCAGAGTAACAGATAACAGAGCAAAGAAATTCCAACCGTCACAGAAACCCCCATTTTCTCTTTGGTGAGCAAAAAAGAAACATTTAAAGGTGATGGTTTTTGCTCCATTAAAATTCACCACTTTAGAATCATATACTAATATTATTTTCAACTGAAAACAACAAAAAACACCCACTCTGATTACAGAGGCTCCCCATATTGGAAAGATCCAGAACTTGACTGCATCGGCATGTTCTCTATGATGCTGGTGACACATGTAGGCTCTGTCAAGAATGTGTGGGAGGAAACTACTACAGTGTGGGAGGAAAAGAGACAATCATCTTCAGCAGGTATTTGGTCACCACCATCCGGGGGAATAACTTGCTAAACAACTGAATCCCTAAGTATACATCTCTTTAGACTTTGGGGACATCTTCGGCCATTATTTATTCCTCTCCCAGCTAAACAAGTCAGGCACACTGACGAGGGGTGGAGTGGCGGGGCACATGTGCACTAGAACTGGAGAGGGACTTACCACCAAGGCTATAAAATTGGTTATTTGGTTCCAAATGTATTTTTGAGGTTCCCCTTTTCTGTTCCTGAGAACTCTTCCTGTGTAGTCCTCCCTGCCACATCCCTGGGGCTCAGGGATCTTCAGGTCTCCACTGAGCTTCTCAGAAAATAATCGCATTGTCACTGTGGGGCTGGTGTTGGAAAGATACCCCGTCTCTTCTATCAACTGGGTCAGTGGGAGCCTGAGCACAACCTACTGTCACAGAATCCTGGTTTGCAGGAGATACTGCGAGAGGCTTTGAAAAGTAGTGGGACCTTCTGCTCTCTTCCTGCTATGTGCTATTTATTAACAATGAAGATAATAAATACATGTTGAGGGCTGGATTCTTTTATGTCATGTTTTTTTTTTAACAAGTTTGATCAATTTTATTGATCTCTAAATAAGTAAAAATGGCTTTTTCCCAAAAAAAGAATTATACAATTACCTACATACCATATAAAGTACTAAGCTTAGTACAAAACTACCTACAACTAGCTATATATCCATTGCTGAGATAGGAATAATCCAATGATCGTACAATTCCGATGGGCTTTCTCTTTGCCACACCCTAGATTGTGACTCACTCCCACTTTCCTGGTGCCCCTCTCTTTACTCTGAGCAGACTCTGTCATGGCTCCCGGGAAGAACCCTAAAACTTATTCCACCTTAGTTTTATCACAATCTGCTTTTGTTTCTTGGCCTTGATCAACCTCGATTTACTGTTTAATATTTACCACAAATAGGTGATAATAATATTTTGCCTTTTAGATTTTGCCTATGAAATACATATAGCACACCTAAAATAATGGATGTTTTCCTCCTTACTACATTCCTCTGGAGCCTAACTATACTGTTGCTATTAGAAATAAATATATGATGTTTTAGCTACATAACAGTTTAAAGAATCCCCTGTACAGAAATCATTCACAGCTCTAGTTACTAATAGAAGCAAAATTGAATTTAACAAATTTAAGATCTCACATCCTACAGATTTAAATTCTCATTTGACTTTCCACCCCAGCAAGACGACTTCCTCACTACCCTCCCCTAAGTAGTTCTAAAGATAATCTTCAATTTAGAAATGAGTTATGTTTAGGCAATAGCAGACCTAGGGCTAGAATTAGGCCTAAATAAGGAACAAATTTTACAATTGTACCAATGGCAGTACCTAAAGGCATTTAAAAGTCTTTAAATTGAATTCTCTCTATTCACTAAGAATGGGACGACCTAAATAAATAAATAAATAAATAAAGCCCTACTAAACAACAAAGAGAAAAACAAAAAAGACATTCACATAAATCCTTATACACAAGAGAAAGTATCAAAATATGCCACATAATTCACATGAACACAAAAACCACGCGGAAAATAATGCTGAACTACCCAAAAATTCCGTGAAGTACAAGTATTGTATACCACTCACTTTTTTCTTGGTTGAGTCT